TACTCTCTCTCTCTCTCTCTCTCTCTCTCTCACACACACACACACACACACACACACTCACTCTGAGAAGGATCGAGTGTGGTGATTATAAGTAAGCATTTAAAGGTTAATTAAGAGTAGAAGCGAATCAGTTGACGGACACTGGTACCAATTTAGAGGATGAATATATCTGTTCTAGGCTAGTGCATTTGGTCATCGGTAGGTTGAAATCAGGTGGAGTGTTTGAAATCTTATTCTTCATGAACACGTGGCTGCCTATCATAGGTTGAGCATGATGGACCATGACATGCAATAGCCTTCGTAAATAGAATAGCAAGTTATCTACTCGTATAATTTAAGGGAAATTCCAATTTGACCCACAAACTATGATCTTCGTCTCGCACTACCACTCAACTATCATGTTATTCAAATTGCACATTCAATTATGCTCATTAATTTAACAGTGTTCTAATTATTCACGATCATTACAAAGTTAATAAGAGTTATTCCACTTTGCCCCCAATTTGAGTTTGTTTCACTTTATCCTGAGAGACATTTTTCATCCAATGAACATTTGCGTTTAGGGTAATGTAAAATCAATTCAAATTGATGAAAGAGAATGTGATATAAATTCATCAGTTCAGGGACTAAGTGATATCAAGGTCATAGTTGAAGGGGTTAAAGTGTAATTTAAAATTTTATCTGATGGGAAGCTTACTGCGTTTTGTGCCATCTGATTACTAAGCTACACTGTTCAAAAGAATTCTGGTACTAGATTTTAGCAAAGATTTGTAAAAACTGAGGAGCCCATGTTCAATAATATCTGGTCCTACACCATGTCTGGACAATCAACACTCTTGTCTCGTACTCACAAGGACAAAAGCACTAGGTGAGATAAACGAAGAGAGATTCCTCGAGTTAGTTGTGTTGAAGCATCAGCCATCAATGGCATAGACCAAAAGGTGATGTGATAACATTTCATGGGCTTCTGCCAACCACTTTATGTAGTTAAGGTTATGAGTGAAAACCGCAGAGTTACTTGCAATGCTTCCATTTTTCAACAAAGTTTGAGCAAAAGGCTGACATGTGGAGGGTGGGTGGGTCATGTACTAACACTACTACTGTCCTCACTTGAAACAACTTTTTGAAGACATCGCTAACTGATGAAGAGGTGATAAATGGCAAGTAAGCTTAATCTACCATCAGCTAGCTAATTAAGTAACATATGCACATGAATTTGTATGCATATGCACTTGTATTGAAGATCAACCCAGACATGCAAAAAATTGGAGTAATAACACTTAAAGAAAAGGGATCAATGATATAAGCATATGTGAAAGCAACAATAGTCCTCCAACTTTGATATATTACAATTGATCAAGTAACCATAGAAAAGGATACACGCAACGCGTACGATCCTTCCATTTGCATCCATGCATACACACAAGTGGATGCGCAAAATGTGAGTGTTTATGCACATACGCACATTAATTCTTGGCTTTGTGTCATGTGTTTGCCATTCGATAAGTCTACAAACAGAAACATAACGTTAACCTCTTCCTCATAATCATTTCGTTCACGAATACTTGTTGCTAATCCCATTATAAAAGTGTCCACGGGAGACCGGTCCTTGCTCCATTCGAACTTGATTATCTCACAACTTGGTCTTCAAAACACTCGAGAACATGGCACCCTGGCTGCTGCCCCAAGTGTCTGCCTGTTTGAAAAAATATATATATTACAATGAAAGATTACCCAAAAGTGCAACATATTGCAGAATCATGTTACCAAGATACGCCCCAGGAGATAGCCTGAAACAAACAGATAATGTACCGGAGCACATATTCTTAACACAAGGGGTTTGAAGTGAATGAACAAGACACGCAGCAGCTGACCTCCACGAGTTAGAGCAATTTGGGAAATCCCAACAAGCAATGAGCCGAAGAGCTCTTTACAAATTCTCAACCTTTGCCAGAAAATTAGCCGAAAAACTTTTTGGGATTAAGTTATAATTTTTTTAGAGACTTGCGATCGATCTTATTGATAATATTTTCTAATTTTCGTTTGAAAGTAACCAAATACCAATTACCCCTGAATTTAATGGCCCATTGACGTTAGGTCAGCATGTAGTTTTGTCGAAACCTGTCAGAGAGCCCAAGATTGTTTTGTTAGAGACCCAGCCCATTACAAAAGGCAGTCCATAACCAATAACACACCATCTGATGATGCACAAAGTAAGCTTATGCACAATCAACAGTCAAGTGTATGATTCAGGATAATTAATATTCAATAAAGCAATTAATGAAAGAAACAAATATTAGATCAACACAAGCAACGCATAGATGTATAGTGATTTGGTCATGGTGACTTACTCATAATTACCACAATTCACTAAATCCTTAACGACCCACAATCTAGGTATATCGCTCCGAAACGTGGTGAGTTTGCAATCCAGATCACCAAAATTGACGATCCCAAATTGCAATACTAACCCTAAACCAATTCACTTTAGAACATGTAGTACAAATATAAAATATATATTAATTGACTATATGAATATAGATTTATAATTATATTTTGTTTTAAATAATAAAAAATCAAGCACAATTATAAGATAAATGATAACTAACTTGGTGTTTATAAATGTTTTGTAATATATAATGTTTTATAGTAGTGAAAACGATCGACATAAGAGTTCCAAAATAAATTGTTACCCAAAATACCGTACTAGCTAAACCTACCCCATCGTACCACGTATCAAAGAAAGTGTCGTACCATGTACCCGTACTTGTACCACATACCGAAGCGACACGATCCAGGTGACATTAGACCTACTCCACTTTTAAGACGACAACGGTGGCCGATGGTCTTTATCATGAAGTAGTAGGTAAGAGAGAGAGAGAGAAAGAGAGAGAGAGAGAGATAGAGCAAGGGTATGCTCTTGGTAGTTATGAAAGAGATATCTGTGTAAAGTGTGTAAAGAGATGTCTCTCTCATATGGAGAGGACTTACAATTTATAGGCACATAGCCTTGGTTGAGGCAATGGTGTAAAGGGATAAGTGACTAATCATTCGGAGTGGATAACTACAGTTGAGGATTAGTACAGTCAGAGATAGTCTTGATCTTGAAGAGTGGCTATCCCGGTAATTACTCCTCACATGCGTAATCTTCCTGGACTCCTTTAACTTTGAACTGGGCCGTATCCATGAGCTGGGCTTGACCTGCCTTGTAGCTAATTTAGGTTCGCTTAATTAATTGGGACTGACTCAGTTAGATTTGGGCTCGTCATTTGCCCCCCTGCCCTAAGCCCCAAGCCCTGACTGTAACAAAAAAGAGGGTTGAGACATGAGTGAGCCTCTGGATAGATAAGGGTTCCTTGTTCCACATGGTAGTCTTTAGCTTTCCATTTCTGCCTACAAAAATTCTTTCCCCATTTATTATCACCTTTGCATTGACCATCATCCCCAATGTTGGATCTCTGCTGAATTTGAAACCCCAATTTTTCATTCTTGCCACTACTTTTAGGGCTTTACAGGACTCTTTCTTTTTTCACCCCACAAACCATCAAGGGAGATTGAGAAAAAGAGAGATGAGAGGGAAAATGTCGAATCATCTATCTTGGGTGGATCCATGGGAGATTCCATGGATAACCCTATGAGCTTCTCGAAGGCAAGGCATGGAGGCACAGGTGCCCATGGCGACGTCGTTGTGGTGAGCAAGACTAGAACTTTTGAAAGGGACCGCGCGCAGGGGTGCCAACCGAAGTATCAAAAACCATAAAAAAAGAAAAAACTTTAAACGACCATAACTTTACGCTCGGTTGTCCGTTTGCGGTGTTTTTTTTTTGAATTCAGATATATTTTCGAAATCTACGACATACAAAACGCCAAAGGCGGTTTGGGCACCAAATTTCTCCAAAAAATGCTTATTTCTCACAGAATTTGAGTTTTAAACATAAATTAGCGAAACTGACGATAATGAAAAATTGTACTTTGACAGACATTCATAGGCGACGGGTTGGTGTTTTGGGTTTTGCCAGAGAGGGAGACTATGATGGCTATTGACTAGGTAGGTGGCAAACCCGCTTTCTCCTTAACATTTTCTCGATACCGGTTCTTTATATTGACTTTGTCTCTAATTACAGGCGCCTTGTTAATAGAGCGAAGGTGGAAGCTCTCTATGCTTTTAGGGTGACGTCTTTCCCTCTTCCCAAGAGGGCTAGGTTTGATGTCCCCAGTACTTTTCGACCGACGTCCGATGGCCAAGTTGCTTATCCGATGATGCCCCCACTCCTTCCCAGACTGTGACTCCAATGTGTACCAAAGCTAACCCTTGTATTGTTGTGGGAGTTGAGACTCCAGTGCAGTCTTCTACAGGGACTGTAGCTCCACTAGCAGCCCTCCTTGTGGCTTGGTGTCCATACTTCGACAAGAATTAGGCTAAGGAGCTGTTTTGGAGGTCTGTGACTCCTGGGAATATCAAAGAGGTTGGATCTCGAGGTCTAGAGGGCATTATCAATACCGCGATGGGGGGGTTTTCCATTGTATGCCTTTTTTCTCAACTTTGATTTTGTCTGTGCCTCCTTTCCTTCATGTTTTGGTTTTCGAATGCTTATATGTGGCTGCCGCTTTTTCCTGTCTTTTTTCAAGAACGATCAAGCTTGAAGAGGCATTCAGAGTTCTAGTAAGAGAGAGGCAGACACAAGAGGCTGCTGAGGAACAGTTGAGGTTGGTTCACGAGAGAGTAACACCTCTTGAGGCTGAGCTTTTGGCGACTCATAGGAGAGGCACTAAGTTGGAAATTGAGGTTGCTTGAGAGCACAGACAATTAGGCCGAACTTTTTGGCGACTTGCAAGAGAGCGCTAAGCTGGAGACTGAAAAGGAGACTGTATGTGCGAGAACAAAGTCAAAACTACAAGTGTCCTGCGAGACAGTTGCAGGAGCTGAGGCCGAGTTACAAATAACTCGGGAGAGAGCTGCCGTGGCAGAGACTGACCTGCGAGTAGCTCGTGAAAGCCACCAAGGCAGAGGCTCATTCCATTGAGATGGAAATGAGGAGTGAGGCTACTAAGAGTGCCGTTGCAGGCGACTTTATCGATGGTTAAAGGAGCTTAACAACTTTCCCTTGAATTGATTTCTCTGGTTTCCTCCCATATGAGGCATCAAGGGTAGATGGTGACGACTTTTATCTTTTTGTCTACCTTGTTGTTAGGTCATGTTCTGACATTTGTAATTCGCTATTGATAATAACTCTTCAGGTGTTCGGCGTCCCATAGGTGAGCCAAGGTTTTCCCGTTTTCAGTGTAATGCCATACCAAACACTTTCACCTAGAGGGCCTCTTGGGGTTTCTTGATCCTCATAGGGGCCACGTAGCATTCTCTAACAGAAACTTGGTCTCCTCTAACTTCTATGATCCCACAGAGGGTTAGGAAACGAAGAACAAGGTGATAAGTGGATGACATTGCCCTTAAGGTGTTGAGTGCTGGGCATCCTAGCATGATGTTGTAGGCAAAGGGGTAGTCTAGCACTACGAAGTTTACCAAGATGGTGGAGCTTCTTGGTACTGTACCTGCTGTGATTGGCAAGGTGATGGAACCCAAAGGATAAGCCCTCTCACCCAAAAACGCGATGAGAGATGTTCCAATGGGTTGTAGTATTTCCCTTACCTAGATGAAGGTTGTCATAGGCTGGTGCAAATAGAATGTTGACAGAGTTGCCACTGTCTACCAGAATTCTCTTAACCTGGTAGTTGACTACCATCATGGTTAAGACTAGAGGGTCATCATGGGGAATCAGATCCCCGCGAGGTCCCCGTCTGAGAAGGTAATGACCTTTTCTTCAAGTGCTGGGGTGTCTTCGTCGAGTGAGATTCGTTCAACTTTGCCTATCTGGCTTTCCTGGTGTGGACTTTCTTGGCAGAGTTGGAGACACCTTTTCCTCCTAGTCCTCCGAAGATCGTCTGGATTTCTCTGAGGGGTTGCTGACATTCTCTATCATCCTAGTCCTGACCAGGTGGCGGGGCTTGTGCTCTACTTGCAACGTTCTGCCTTAACTGGTCACATTGTATGAGCTCCTCGATTTGTCTCTTGAGCTTATAGAAGTCATTAGTTTCGTGGTCATGGTCGAGGTGGAAGCGATAATATTTGTTCGGATTTCTTCGGTTTGGGGCGAACTTCATATTTTCTGGCCACCGTAGAGTAGGGTCGTCCTATATTTGAAACAGGATATGCTCCACTGAAGCATTGAGCGGCGTAAAGGCTTGCCGCTCTCTCAGATGTGGGAGACCAAGGTGGTCCTTGACAGAGACTCTCTGTCCTATTCCTTTTGTTCTCTGTTTCTCTCTTGTCTTCACGGGTATCCTTTCTTTTCTCACCCCCGCGGAAGGACTCACATCGTCGGACTTTAGTGACGTCCTCGGCATTCATATACTTTTGTGCCCTTGACAGTAGTTCGGGCATGCTAGAGGGCGACTTCTTTAGGATAGAGTCCTGCAATAAAGGCAACCATGGTTACCTTGTCGTCTGACTCCTCGATCTGAAGAGTCTCCTCTTTAAAATGAGTGAGGTAACTCCTAAGACTATCATCCTGATCCTGCTTGATGGTGAGCATATGGGTAACCGCCTTCCGTGTCGGTGTCCTCCAATGAAGTGGGAGACGAAAGATTTGCACAACGCTGCAAAAGAATAGATGGAAGAAGGCTTGTTCGCAAATCATTGTCGTGCGGATCCTTTAAGGGTGGTAGGCAAGGCTCTACACATAATCTCATCAAGCACGTTATAAAGTTGCATGAGAGATTTGTATGTGTCAAGATAATCAAGGGGGTTCTTGGTACCATCAAAAATCTCGAAAATAGGCATCTTGAATTTTGAAGGCAGAGGGTAGTTGACAATATCCACTACAAACGGAGTGTCAGTACGTCTTACCATATAATCTACCATTTTTGATCAAGCTCCCTATACAAACAAATAAATATCAATAAAACAAAAAAGCACAAGCAAATGTGTGTGAAAGATATATGGTTACCCTTGTTGCATGTTAAGGGACTCAAAATTTAAAAAAATATCATGGATCACTGGTGCACAGATACATAGTACTAATCCAAAGTTCACAATCTGATGACAAAGTGGTCAACAACCAAAAATCTAAAAAGACTAAAGAGAATGATTTCGGTTTAAATGTTTTTATTAGAAGAGAAAACATCTTACAATAGATCATAACCAAATCTCCTTTAAGCAAGTTAAACAAAACTCACGAAGGCTAGTAATTTTAAGTTTAAAACAAGTACTATCAAAAACTGTAATATCCATCAGAATGCATCGGCTATGAGTAGGTTTCAAAACATCAAGAACTGCCTAATCTAGGCTAGGAAAAGCATCAATAACTACTTTTGCAGTAATAATTATTTAGTAAAATATGAAATAAACAAATGAGAGTCTAATATACCTCCAATTGTTTGGATGTATAGACGCGACTGTTGCATCTATCACCCATTCCCAATTATCACTTCCATACTTTGGGCCTATGGCAGAGAGTCCTCAATCCATAAACGTCCGTTACATGCATAATCCCTACTTATTACGATATCTTATGTGGAAGTATGTCCATCAAGTAGCAATCATCAAACAGGCCTAAAAAAAGGAAAATAATTTGTAGTCCTGAGATGAAATTAACAGCTCATATATGCTAAATCTTCAATACCTTATGCACGCTATCAGTCATGTTTGCAATAAGGGATATAGAACTAAATTAGTCATGTTCTACAAGACGACAGACTGATAGTTAGATAGTAAAAGCTCCATTTGGTGTCCATGTAACTATCTATTGTTGGTTATTTATAACTTAATAGTATATCATCAACATCTTCCCCCTCAATCCCCCTACGGACTGGTTAACAACTAAGAATTCGAAACCTTCGGAGAACTCTTATGCTATGAAAGAAGTAGAGTCATTAAGATTATAATAAAGATTCTAAAAAAGAAAAAACAAGAGCTACCTTGGTTGGGGATCTCCCCAAACCCCCCTACTGCTTGCCTAACAGAGCTCTTTGTCATCTGGGAACAAAAGGTTTTAATAGGCTTTCTCTTGTAACTTTAATAAATGGTATTACCTTTCATTCAAGCTTAGAGTCTAGAAGTGCACGGGTACACCCATACACCAATGTACACTCGGTAATCATAACATTTTACAATCCAACCCACAGGATTTTTCAAAGTTGATTGAAACAATCAAAACAGGTAAACATGGTAGTTTGAGTGCCTTACACACGATGGCTAAAGAAGGGAATTCATTTGTGAGAACCATGTTGAATGGGTGCATCATTAGCTGCAGGGCTGCTGATATGGATGCTGACATGGCTAGCAGAGGTGGCTGCACATGTGACACTGAGGCTGAAAGCTCAGATTTGACTGCCAGGTGTCTTTAATATCAGGTTTTAAGGGCTGCAACTGATATTCAGTGCATTATGTGCTCTTTGACCAAATCTTTAGGAGATTTGTTTTGATTTTCTGTTATCTACTAGCTGTTAATGTTAGCAGCTAAAGTTTAGGAAGTTTGTTGCTTTTATTTCTGGTTTTTAGGTGCATACTCATGTATTTAAGCAGATCATTCTTTAATAAAAATAAAACCTTCTCCCATTTTCTTTTGTTCTTTATATGCTCTCTTTCTCTTGTTCTTAGTTAAGTTTAACTAAGCTACAATTACTACAAACCAAGTGTAATCGTACACATGCACATCAATTGCGCCAAAAAAAGTTATCTGTAATAGTGCTATCCCTCGTAAATAGGATTGAGTGGCAAAGTAGTAATAAAAAAGTTGAATTTGGATGAACATGATGACTTACTGAATGCAGCAACTAAGAGAAACTTCTTACATAATAACAATCTTAAACTGAAGGGCCACAATACCAAACATAACCATTATAACTGACTGCCTTTATAAGGAAAAAAAAAACAAAAAGGAGTGGCAAGTTGCACTCGCACTCTAGGCAATCACTAAAACTGAATAAATAACCCAAGTTCATCTTCTGAAAAGCCATTATAAGGACATGAAGTTATGCTGGTCATCAAGTTTTTAGCATGAAGTAACCATGGTCAACTCTGCACATCGAATATTATTCCACCCATCCCTACAGTGATTCTGTTTTTTCAACAGAAGACACACAAACAAATTAATAGTAAGAAATCCATTCCATAAGAATTATCCTATTTTGTTTCTATCGCTGAGCAAATTATCATCCAGGAAGTCATTACTTGAACATTGGTGTCAAAAAATTGCAAAAGCATCATTAGAAATAGTGCAATAGAATGTATGCGTCCACTCAGAAGTTTTTGAACTATAAATATGATTATTGTCATCATCCATGTCAAGAAACTTGAACCTAATATCATCATCATTCATCTATAAATACCTCAATGAAGATGGTGTCCTCAATGGAGGCATGGGAATAATGGCGGAAGTCATTCTTTGACCACAGATATTTGCAAGTGAAGATGGACTTGGTGAAGAGGGACCTGTTGTCCAACCTGACAGTTTGTAGCACTCAGAACCAAGCCCATCACTACATCCTGAAAATTCCAGATAAAAACCCAAGATCACTATTTCGTCGTCAATTAAAAGAGGCACTATGAACATGTTGCTTATTTCAAACACCTCAAAGAGGGTGCGATGGGAATTGGTACGATACTTGAACCATTGGAGTCCAGTCGAAGACCGAATTCATTACCGTAATTTGCAACCAAAGAAGAATTGTAAGTATTGGGAACCGATGAAAATATGAAAAACAGAAATGAAAAGTACGAAGACAGCTTACTTTTGTGTGAGATGTGGATGCAGAATCAAAAGAGTCTTGTTGATGATAGATCTTTGGATATGGAAGAAAAGTGGGAATAAAAGGAGAAGAGATGAGATGGTTGAGATTAGAGGTGACAATTTTTGACACGACACGATAACTCGATACGAACACGACACGAATAAATGAGTTTGAGTTTGACTATTTTTGGGTACAAACTCGTGTATGACACAAATCTGTCAACACGAAGTGTTAATGAGTCGTGTTCAGGTTCAACCCGTTTAACACGCATTGACCCAATTNTACAAACCAAGTGTAATCGTACACATGCACATCAATTGCGCCAAAAAAAGTTATCTGTAATAGTGCTATCCCTCGTAAATAGGATTGAGTGGCAAAGTAGTAATAAAAAAGTTGAATTTGGATGAACATGATGACTTACTGAATGCAGCAACTAAGAGAAACTTCTTACATAATAACAATCTTAAACTGAAGGGCCACAATACCAAACATAACCATTATAACTGACTGCCTTTATAAGGAAAAAAAAAACAAAAAGGAGTGGCAAGTTGCACTCGCACTCTAGGCAATCACTAAAACTGAATAAATAACCCAAGTTCATCTTCTGAAAAGCCATTATAAGGACATGAAGTTATGCTGGTCATCAAGTTTTTAGCATGAAGTAACCATGGTCAACTCTGCACATCGAATATTATTCCACCCATCCCTACAGTGATTCTGTTTTTTCAACAGAAGACACACAAACAAATTAATAGTAAGAAATCCATTCCATAAGAATTATCCTATTTTGTTTCTATCGCTGAGCAAATTATCATCCAGGAAGTCATTACTTGAACATTGGTGTCAAAAAATTGCAAAAGCATCATTAGAAATAGTGCAATAGAATGTATGCGTCCACTCAGAAGTTTTTGAACTATAAATATGATTATTGTCATCATCCATGTCAAGAAACTTGAACCTAATATCATCATCATTCATCTATAAATACCTCAATGAAGATGGTGTCCTCAATGGAGGCATGGGAATAATGGCGGAAGTCATTCTTTGACCACAGATATTTGCAAGTGAAGATGGACTTGGTGAAGAGGGACCTGTTGTCCAACCTGACAGTTTGTAGCACTCAGAACCAAGCCCATCACTACATCCTGAAAATTCCAGATAAAAACCCAAGATCACTATTTCGTCGTCAATTAAAAGAGGCACTATGAACATGTTGCTTATTTCAAACACCTCAAAGAGGGTGCGATGGGAATTGGTACGATACTTGAACCATTGGAGTCCAGTCGAAGACCGAATTCATTACCGTAATTTGCAACCAAAGAAGAATTGTAAGTATTGGGAACCGATGAAAATATGAAAAACAGAAATGAAAAGTACGAAGACAGCTTACTTTTGTGTGAGATGTGGATGCAGAATCAAAAGAGTCTTGTTGATGATAGATCTTTGGATATGGAAGAAAAGTGGGAATAAAAGGAGAAGAGATGAGATGGTTGAGATTAGAGGTGACAATTTTTGACACGACACGATAACTCGATACGAACACGACACGAATAAATGAGTTTGAGTTTGACTATTTTTGGGTACAAACTCGTGTATGACACAAATCTGTCAACACGAAGTGTTAATGAGTCGTGTTCAGGTTCAACCCGTTTAACACGCATTGACCCAATTAACCTGTGTATTTAATCGGGTTGACACGAACCCGCCTGACCTGTGTTTAACCCGAATTGACCCACCACTATATAATGAACTTAATTATTTTTTTCAAACCCTAACTTCATTTTCCTATTTTCACTTATTGTAGAGAGTCTGTCCAAAGTCCAAATTCGCCGCCACCTTCCCTCTGTCGGTCTCTCTTCTTGGCTTGGTGACGAGGTTCACTGTCAGGTAAGCTCTTTCTCTTCTCGCACTTTCTCTCTCTCTCTCACTCTTTCTCTCGCTCTTTCTCTGTCTCTTGCTCTTTCTTTGCTTCTGTAAGAATCTAATCGCTATACGGATATCATACAACCTGTCAAATTCGAGCTTTATTTTAGCTATAGCTGCTTCTGTTGAAGGTAAATCTCTACTTCCTTTTAGCAAATCCACTAATCCAGTACCTCATTTGATTTATTTCATTTCATTTCCTTCCTTCCTTATGCTGAGCAGATCTAGTACCTCATTTGATCCAGTAAATTTCCTTCCTTTTGTTGAGCTTTATTTCATTTTTTATTTCACAATTGAAATATATTAGAATTACAATAGCTCTGGATTTTATGTTTTTTTGTTTTTGTTCTAGCTTTAGATTTAAGTTACTTTTAAATTTTTTGAGTGTTCATTAGGTTTCTAATTGTCAAATAATCTTGCTAGGAAAATGGAGGATACATCATGTAGTCAACCAAATGTGGATGTCAATATTGAGAATACATCCAATGCTGCCCCAGATACAGAAAGTGGAGATAATAAGAATGATGAAAAGCAACAACGTACTTCCACATCAAAGGTATGAGATTTTTTTAGAAAGTATGTAAATCAAGACAATGTTACAAAGACAGAATGCAACAAATGTAAGATTGAGTACAGTGTTACACAAACATCTTTAGATAGCAAGAAAAGTTTGAGGCAAGATGTTCCTACTAGATGGAACTCAACATATTTGATGCTTGCAAGTGCAATTTAATACCATCGTGCCTTTTGTCATTTGCAACTTGTGAATTCTAATTTTAAGTATTGTCCATCTCAAGAGGAATGAATCAAAGTTGAAAAGATTCAGATGTTTTTAAAAAAATTTTATGATACTATTATTATCTTTTTTGGCTCCAAGTAACCCACGTCAAACTTGTGCTTTCAGCAAGTTTTTAGTATTCAATTGACTTTGAATAAAGAAATGCAAAATTTGGATACTTTTATTAATACTATTGATAGTCTATGATTTGAAAGTCTGTGATTTTGATAATGTAGGCATTTGTCATTGAGAGCAATGCATCTGGTCTTAAAACACAAAAAAGTCAATTACAATTGTATTTGGATGAACCTAGGGTTGACATAGAAACATTACTTTTTGTTCTTGATTATTGGAGAGTTTATCAATATCGTTATCCGAAACTTGCTATTATAGCTCTTGATGTGTTAACTATTCTAATTTCTACGGTTGCTTTAGAATCGACTGTTAGTATTGGTGGTCGGGTTCTTGACCAATACTGTAGTACTTTGAAGTCTCACATTGTGGAGCCTTTGATGTGCACTAGAGATTGGTTATGTGCAAAAAAAGGTAATAAATATAATTTGTGATGACTGCGATATTTAATTATTTTTACAAATATTGAATTCTTATTTATATGTTTTCCTTATTGTCATTTAGAAAATTCACAAGTGCAATTGGAAGAGCTAGTAGAAGATGTTATAAATCCGACTTTGAAAAAAATGAGGATGCGTCAGTGCAATGTTCAAATGTGATTGTGGATCTTGATTGATGTGTGTGAGTCATAAAATCTAACTCTTCTTCTCAATCTTACGTGTTTATTTTTATTTTTTGTCACAATAATCATTCCATATTTATTGGGGTTAAAAACTTAATATGTTTTTTGGCAAGATATTAGCCAGATTTAGGAGATGAAGAAGATTTGAAAGATGCTTGTAATATTGCTTTAGGATATTTATAAAGGTTTTGGAATATTTGTAATGTTGTGGAGATTTGTATTTATTTTGGGATATTTGTGATGTTTTTAATGCTTTTGTTTTATGTAAAATAAGTCTAAATTTTTCCTTTTTTTTGTAAGGTCATGTCGAATTGGGTCGTGTTAGGCGGGTTGGGTCGTGTTTACCCGAACACGACTCCATATAAATCTCGGATTACAGATCGTGTCGGGTTAGTCGTGTTTCGAGTCAAGGTCGTATTCGTGTCCAAATGACCTAACCAGTTTAACTCGCAGGTCGTGTTTGGGTTGATGTGTTTTCAACCCGAACCCGACATGACACGACCGGGACATGATTGCCACCTTTAGTTGAGATTAGGGGCTGAAGAACTAACAGAGAAGAAGACTATATTATTTACGTTTACAAATAAGACAAAGAGACTATGAACTATGAAGGAAGGAACATAAATTGACCCAACATATGTATGCATGTATATATAGAGATATGCACATCTAGGGCAATATAATCCACTGGTAAGCAAATACATGTGACATTAAGTCAATGTAATTATCTCTAAGGCAAAATAATTAGCCACTAAGGCCATATAATCATCCTCCCCTCCAATACACTTTCACTTCAATTCTCTTTTTGACGAATCACCAATTCTGGCATTTAAATGGGACCCACTTGTGTATACAATGGGTCGCTCACTCATTAATGGTAGATGATCCGTCAAAAAAGAAATCGAAGAGGACATGTGTTGGAGGAGATCTTGATCCATATAATCTGATATTAAGGTCATATAATCCGCCACTAAGGCTACATCAATGCAATTACAGCACACACATGCCTCACCAAGGCCACATTAAATATATCACCATATCTTATACCACAAATTCATTGTCAACATCATCACAATTCATAACCAATAAATCATATATTAGTATCAAATAAGCTTATGTTTGTCATACTCAATCGCATGAAATAATACACTTACAATCATGTATTACTTTCAATAAGACATTATTTCCACTCTCACTTGTTTACTGGAATCCTTAACACAACTTAAACCACTACAATAACAATCCAAAAACATACAAGCAACCATGAGTATCCCATAAATCCTCCATAATAGCCACTTACTGTCTGTCCACACACATAAAAGGCCATTCATCCAAGCACATGCATTCACAAGACCATGTATTTCCTCACATCAACTCAAAGAAACAAAGATCAACACACCAATAATATGTTAATACTTATCACTGAATCACATAAAATCAATACAGAATATAAGAAAGTGTTTTAGTAAGTCAAACATCTCACTCACACATCATATACTATTAATTTGAAATTAACTTAACCCAACCAATCTGGACATCTCCATAACCAATGAGTCCAATGCCGTCCTAATCACACTTGTCTTTAGAACCAACTAACACGGCTCTAATACCAATTTTTTGCAACTATATGGAGGTAGCAATATCACCCTTCAAGTATAGAGTAACCTCACATTTGACAACATGTAAATTTATATGCACATAATAATAGAGACCCAAAAACGCCAATCACGTGTAAACAACTTATATTCATACACCCATAGATTCATATAAAATAGATATTTCATGTATTCCCTGGTGAACCATTAAGGTTTCAAACCCTACAACACAAACATTTATATCAGTTACAAAAGATTGAGAAATATCCTCTAAATACCACGACCCTTGTGCCCCAACCCTTGATCAGAGAAAGCTACCCACAACTCAAAATGAGTCTTGCAAAGAGAGTCTTGCGAAGAGATGCGGACATTCCCCATGCTGTGGTTCCCTTCGGTCCATGGGTTGTGTGAGTGTGTTGCGGCCCCGGGGGGGCATGAGTCAATATGGTCAATGAGTATACTCACATCATAACAATAGCAAACACATGATTAGTTCAATCAAATAACCATCACAGATAAAATCTATCTTATATAAACCATTTAGTACAAGATCCACATCATTAGTAGGTAAATAAGTCAATAGAAGAAGATGTACCACTTTAGCTCAGACATCAACATATAAGAAATAGCGTGATATTGCGCACACACAATGTAATTAACACTAATATACGACACAGTAGTACAATATAAATTATGGTAATGCTTTGTCACCAGCATACAAGAATCCAAATTTATGACTTAGATGAATCTCAATGGGAGATTCACAATATACACTTTTTCCAATTCATTTTTGCATTTTGGTTTTTCTACACCACCTGGACTTAGAATTACTCAATTGCAGTTTATGTATTTTCTCATCATTAGTCAAATCATAAACATGTAACTATGATAATTTTATTATGCTACATATGGGAAAAAATTGCCCATTTAGAGCTTAGATCATCTTCATGTAGTACCATCATTTCAAAAATCCCTAGCTATCATTTCTTGAATTTATAACCTTCAAATGCCACATTTTCTGAATTTCCATTGCAATCTCTTGAAGAATCCAAGTCCATTTTTCCTGGTATCTCTTGTTGAGATTATGGGGTTCTCATCCCTGTCCATATACAGATGATATCTATGAAAAAGAGACTTATGTGCTTGGATACAGGAAGTATGTATAACACAAGTTCATCCTTTTAGCTGTACAACTGATCTGTTTTATTTGTGATATGTAGCTTTCTTTTATAAAAGCATGATGTTCCCACCTATGAGTTTCAAGCTAATATATACAAGAGAAAAGGTTCCAAAACTATGGAATATGAGGACAAATGCAAGGTAAAAAATGGTTAGAAATTACCACAACGACATTAGGATGAACAAAAGATGACCACCCCTCAAAGCCAGCCTTTTTGAGCTTAATCACACCCCTCATGTGTGGATTATAACATCAAAACTCCTCCGATTGAGCCACACAAACAGATTGACAAATCAAATTCCATTTCTCCATAAAATATTCTAAAATAGAAAATACCATTCAGCTCAAAAAAAATTGAACAGAAATCACCATAAATGCCAACATGAAGAGATGATCTGACACGCGCATTAATGCAAACACACTAATAAACAAACACAAACACACACACTCTTTAATACACCATCGCAAAATACACACATTAATACACCATCTAAAACATACACACATTAACACACAAAAAAAAAATTCTCACACAGTAACACCTAAACACACATATACATTCACCCTAATACACTACCAAAAAAAACACTCACTAATCCACCAAAACCGAAAACACTAACATACCAAAACACACATTATTACCCAAACACAAATGCAAGCACACACCAATACACCAAACCACATACACTAACAAAATGCACTGCTAATACACTAAAGAAATACATGCACACTAATACACTCAAAAAATACACTAATACACCGAAACACAAACACACTAATACACCATATACATAAACACCAACACACACTATGCTAACACTCACCAAAAACACAAACGCAGGTACCAACACTTACATAGCACAGACTAATATACAAAAAATACAAACTAAAACACACACATATACAAACTCTGTTCGGACACACACACACTAACACACTAAAAAAAACCCCATACACTAAAGCACCAAAGAAATACTGGCACACTAATATAAAAAACACACACACAAACTAATAACACACCAATACACTAAAGCACCAAAGAAACACAGACACACTAATACAAAAAATACACACACGAACTAATCATTGCTCAAAATTAGGGGTTATTAAATTTTACAGTATAGATCACTAATCAAAGTCTCACTTCACAAGAAGGTGCAACACCAACATATTGCACATTTAGGTCCACTAAAATTTGTCAAAAATGCGCAGAGCACCTACCCATTGGTGGGTGTGTGCATTAACATTGTGTGTG